AGCTGCTGGAACAGCTAGGCAGCCACTCTTGGGCCTGAGTGAGCCAGAGGCTATGTATCCAGGGCTGCATGGCAGCGTTTACCATGAGAAGTCAAACTTCCTAATGTGGCTGCTTGCTCAGGCCACACACTGGAACAACCTTGGAGGAAGGGATGTGATGTTAATCTTTGCTGTTAACTTGGTGGGCTTCAGAGATTTCCCCAGAGGTTAGTAGAGCATGGTCCCATGCTCCTGGGAATGTCTGAGTGGGTGATGGAGGCGTGACCTTGGGGATCTGGTTCCTGGCCCCTTTCTCTCTGGCCTCTTGCTGCTTCTGCTTCCTGGCTGCCATGAGGTGAGCAGCTTTTTTCCTGCCATGTCCTTCTGCCATGTGTTTTCCTTGCAGCCAGACTGCCATGGACTGAACCCTCTGAAACTGAGCCCAGATAAACCTCTTCTCCTTAGGCTGTCGATCTCAGGTATTTTATCCCAGCAATGGAAAACTGACCAATATACGGGGGAAGCACAAAAGAAACAATTTAAAAAGTTTTTATTGGTACATTTTAGATATACATAATGGTAACATTCATCATATAGAATTTGAATGTGTACATGATATATCATAATTCTTTTTCCCATTTTCCTCCTCCCTCCAATCCCTTTCCCTCCTTATTTATGAAAGCTTTGTTTCTATTTTTTCCTTCTATTCTTTTTCCTTTCCCTTCCCCCCCCCCATATTTCCCCTTCCCATTTGAATATTTTCTTCTTATTTCACAATATCTATTATACATTTTGGTCCTTATTTACATTTTCAGCTTCTCACCCCAGAGAAACCATGCAATATTTGAACACGTGTCTGATTTATTTTTCTTAAAAGTATGGACTCTAAGAACATCCATATACTCAGAAATGTCTGAAGTTTATCCTCCTTCAGGACTGAGTAGTGCTCCATTATGTCAAAAAACCCACTTCTTTATCTGTTTATTCGTCAGTTGATTAGCATTTGGGTTGTTTCCAAGAGTTAGCTATAATAAACTGTGCTACTATAATCCTAAGTGTGCATATGTCACTGTGGTATGATGCTTTTCTTTCAGGAAAACACCAAGAAGGAGAATAGCTGGGTCAAATGGAACCTCTAGTTTTAACTTTTGAGGAGTCTCCATACTGATTACCACAGTCTGTACTCCTGCCAGTAGTGGACAAAGGTTCCTTTTTCCCCACAGCCCTGCCAGCATCTGTTATTGCTTAATCTAATGATAACAGTCATTCTTTTTGGGGTGAGATGGAATTTCAGTGTTGCTTTAATTTGCATCTCTAGAACGACCAGTGATGTTGAACATGTTTTCATATATTTGTTTCCATTTCTATTTTTTCATCTGAGAAGTGTGTACTAATTTCAGATGCCCATTTTTGGACTGGGACTTTACATTTGAGGGGTCTGATTTTTTTTAGTTCTTTATATATTCTAGTTATTAGTCCTTTGAAGGACAGCTATATTGTAGTTTGTGTAGTTTGTGTAGTTTCCTATATTGTAGTTTGTGTCGTTACTCTGTTTGTGGTTGCTTTTGCTGTGCAAAAGCTTCTTAATAGGATGAGGTCACAGTTGTTGATTCTTTTTTTTAAATTTTATTTTGAAAGTAGTAAAATATAGCAGAACAAGACAGAATAAAGCCAACTAAGATCGTACAGTGAAATTGGTACAGAACTTCACAGCAGGTTACCGGGATAACAGTAATAGGTATATTTCATTATCTCTACAATAGTTGTTCTTTCAATCACGTATATCAAAATTCAATGAAATACAGAACATTATAGAACTTATCAAAACAGAATACTGAATAAAGCAGTACCATTAATCAGAATAGAGCAAAACAGTAATAAAAATATTTGCCTTCAAAGAGATGGTAGAAGGAAATCCCCCTTATTTGCTATGGCCATCCTCCCAGGAGATGCTCAGATTTCTGGTTCCTATTTGCTAACGGGGGGGACAGGAGAAGGAGGGTAGGGGAAGAGGGATGTTTGACTCTAGGACGCATCACTAGGTTCACTATTGGTTAGCAGGGAAGCAGGCTGGTTGCTTGGCTTCCCAGCATCCTAAGTTCCAACATGGCGTGGATCTCAGGAGACACTGGTGGTTCTCCTCCTGGAAGGGCCTCAGTCTCTTTATTTCCTTGCAAATGAGTTTTTGTTCATAAAGTCTTTGCCTACACCAATATCTTCAAGAGTTCTACCTATTCTGTCTCCCAAAAGATTTAGTGTTTTTGCTGGGAACACAAAATTTTGGTGCATTTGATACATTTTGATTTTAGTTTAGTGCATGGTGAGAGATGGGTCTAGTTTTAATCTTTGGCATGTGGAAAGCTAGTTTACCCAGCACGATTTATTAAAGAGGCTGTCTTTCTTCGAGTGAAGGTGCTTGGCCCTTTTGTCAAAGATAAGGCAGCTGAGTGTGTTTTTGAGCTGTTTTGTGCATCTTTTAATCTGTTTTTTCCTAGTTCCATGGTGTTTTTATTGTGATAACTTTGTAGTGTAATTTCAAGTTAGGGATTGTGGCTCCCTGCCTTGCCTTTGTTGCCCAGAATTGCCTTTGGTATTCTAGGTCTCTTCTAGTTTCAAATGAATTTTAAGATTGTTTTCTCTAATTCTGAGAGGTATGCTGCTGGTATTTTGATTGGGATTGTATTAAATCTGTATAGTGATTTTGAAAGGATGACCATTTTCAGTATATTGGTTCTTCCAACCCAAGAACAAGGCATTTCTTCCCATTTTCTGATACCCTCTTCAATGTCCTTTTTCAGAATACTGGTTTTCAATGCAAAGGATGCCATCAGCATAAGAATGGGGACTAAGTTCCAGTGTATGGACTTTGGGGGAGCACATGCAAGCCATTGAGCCTCCCTTCTCCCAGTTCATCACTTCCTTTCCCTCCGTTAACGCTTGAGGCCCTCCGCCCTTCTGCCCCTGGGACAAGTGCCTTCTTTTCTCCTGTAGGATTATTGCAGTAAATCTTGAATGCCATAGGTGCCTCATAAATATTTGTTGGCAGTGAAATCATTTGACATACTTCTCAAAAAACAAAGGAGGAGAGCAGTTGTGTTTTCAGCCACACAGAGCATAGAGTGGTTGCAGGGTGAATTTGCTGTTCCTGACTACGGAAGCATCCCTTGCTTGGGTGACCTCCCCCCACTCATTTAGCTGCTTATTCATTTAGCAGTTTGGTTCCTACAAACTGTAGGTTGGACCCCAAATTGTAACGAGAGGTCATCTTGCAGGATCAGGATTATGCAGCTGGTTTCCACATTTTACTGTCTGTGCTTCAGAACATCTTTGAATTATAGCAAACGTGTATGAGCTTTATAGGTAGAAAACAGTAATGTTATTAAGTAAGTAAATTGAGGAAAATATTATGTGTTTCCCACACTTCTACTTTTTTGTGTTCTGAGAAAGAGATGTATATTTAAAGGGAAAGCACGGTTGCTTGGAAAAACCCCCTGACTCCTGAGTTTTGGGGAGCTCGGTGGATGGGAAGAAGGGAAGGTGTCCTCGCCTGTGCTAGGGAAGTTTTGACTTCCCTCTGAAGGTCCAGTGACTGAGTCAGCCCACACAAAGGCCAGTAGGCAGAGGAATGGGAAAAGCATTCGGGTTTATTATTGTGCCAGAACTCAGGCATCATAAAAATGTGAAACTCACACAAGGGCCACATGGGTGAGATTTAAATACCCAGTTCCTGGGAGAAGTGGAGGTGGGGCTGGAAGCCAGTGGGGGGGGGGGGGATAAACGGGGAGTACAAGCCCAGGAGACAGACAATAGCCTGGAGCACAGCTTCTCTGGATGTGGTTTTGATTTTTCAGACTCTTCCTCTGTGATGTGAGTTTACTATTTTTAATTTTTTTGTCTTATTTGTTTGAGCAGGAGGGTTGAAGGCAATCCGTCCCTCTTTGGTGGATCTGGTGCTGAGGTTAATAAGAGGATTCCAGGGATGTCTGGCCATTTCCTCCTCCCTGGGTGCCCCATGGGAAGTTGGAAACCATTTATTTTGGGGAGTCATTTTCTGAGAGACCCCCGATCTCCATACCCCGAGATAAATACATGCTTCCAGCCCCTGGCCAACCCACAAAAGCACATAGCAACCCTCATTCCTGCACAGCCTGAGCCATGGTGGAGAGCGTGAAAGCTGGACCTAGAGGCCCTGGGGGAGCCCTGGCCACTGCAGAGGGGTTTGTGTAGTCCAGGGTGCCAAGGCACAGAGAAAGTTGGAGGAAAAATTCCTAGACCCCTCCATTCTGCCCCCAATTCTCTTGCTTCTATGCGTCATTAGCCATTAGGTGCTTGGCTGAACACTTAGGCTTCAAATCCTTTTTTAGGTATCAGTCAGCTAAGTGGCCTGGGTTGTTATTCACCATTTCTAGTAAGGACCAGCCACACACACACACACACACACACAGAGAGAGAGAGAGAGAGAGAGAGAGAGAGAGCTAAAAGTACAACTAATGGAAGCCTATATTTTTAGAAATACTTGTGGGCCAGCTAAAATAAAAACATTTTCTGGTTCATTCCAAGCAGGCGGACATTTGCTGGAAGCTCCAAGTCTGGGACATATCTTCTTGTGGACACAAAAATTGTAAATTATCTCTCTGAGACTTGTAAGACAGCCTTTTCAGGGCTATTGGCCAAATGTCTGGTGAAGTCTGTGGCTGAGCAGATGTACGAGAAATGCTCTTAGGTTTTCCTGTGCTGTCGCCTTTCTATTGAGTGGAGTATTAGGACGTGGGATGTACAGTCACCACATACAAGTTTTAAATTTTATCTGTATATTTGTATATCCATGGTAGGAATGTTACTCTGTCAGCCTAAAGGCCCCTAAAGGAGGAGGCAAGTGAGTGTACGTACCAGAGGTGTGTGGTAGACAGATTTTGTTCATCTTCTCTGGGGGTACTGAGGATCTCTGCTTTCCCGCCATCATAGTCTAAGAACTCGAGCCATGGATTTAAAAGCTAAAACTGAGGTGTTCTCTTTTGCAGTGATTGCTGAAACCAGGGAAGAAACCAGACCCTCCCAATCACTCCCAAGGAGCCTGCAAGTGGACCACAGGCCATTTTCCTACCCTGACACCAGTGGGTACCAGCCTGCTTCGATGCTGTCACCGACCCAGCCTGGAAGGCCACATCCAGGAGACACGGCTGGCCCCCAGGCCACCTCTGCTGCAGCAAAGCTCCGACCACCTGTTGCATTTAATCACACAGTTGGACACATAATACTTTCTGAGCACAAAGATGTCAAATTTAATTGCTCCATCAATATACCTAATATGTACCAGGAAACTGAAAGTGTTTCCTGGTGGAAAGATGGGAAGGAGTTGCGTGGAGCACATAATACAGTTACACAGTATTATCCCGATAATGAAGTCACGTCAATCATTGCATCCTTCAGGTAAGTGTCCTTCCTTCCTTTTTCAGTGTCATTATGCTAATGTTACCTCAAAAGCAAAAGCCTCCTAAATAAAAAAAACTTGCCTTTGTTTTCTGTTTAAGTGAGCTTGATCCCTTAGCGAGTAGATGGATATAGTACCTGACAGTCTGTATTGTTGATTTCTTTTAAACTGAGCTTGGACTCACATAACTAACCACTGGTTCACAGAGACTCCGGGGACTGGGAGGGCTGCTTCCCTCCCAACCTGCAACTCACTATCAAGTACAGCTGGATGCAAGAGTTCTACCAGCGAGAGGAACTTGGTTTTTGTAAGGGAAGAGCCAACAACAGAAAATAACATGACAAGGATAAGTCAATACATATCAGTTATAATCATCAATATTAGCGATCTCAATTCACCAGTCAAGAGTCACAGCCTGGCAGAATGTGTATTCTGGCAGAGTGTGTATTCAGAGTCCCCTGCTCTCCCGCTGACCGAGGGAGCCTGTTTTAGAGCCACAGGCCTCTCTTCACACCACCTCTTTGGTATTCTGGCTTCTTTCCTCTTCAGCCAAAGCGTTTTGGTTTGCTTTTTTCCTCCTCTTTTTTGTTTCTTGGTTTATTTGACTACCTAGTCTTATTAATGGTACACGTGAACGGTGTGCACTGTGATATTTCAAAACATGCATACAGAGTGTCCTGGTCAAATGGGGTAGTTGGCATTTTCCTTTTCTTCTCATTTCTTTATGTTTGGAGTCTTCAAGCACCTGTGTTCTAGATCTTCCTAAAGTACATAATGGTTGTCATTATATCTTAATATAATAATACTGTCGCAGAATTCCTGATCTCATTTCTTCTGTTGAACATAGTTTTGGTACCTACTGTGCATGTACCATGTCCACACCACCTCTTCCCAGCCTCAGGTAATCACTGTTTTGCCTTGAGATAACTTTTCTAACTGAATGTATTTGTGTGTGTGTGTGTGTGTGTGTGTTTTGCATGAGGTCTTCCTTCCACGTACAGCTGTAGAACTGGCTTAGCTTGTGGTTGGCAAGAATTCAAAGTGAGCTTAGAGTCGCTGAGGGTTGAATCACATTGTCTCTGTGATTCGTTTACTCCTGCGAGCAGCCTTCTTTGATCTGTCCTGTTTTCACTTTCTCTGACCTGACACTTGGCATTGTCCCATACTGTGTTATGCTCTTTGGTGAATAATTTTGTGTTTCCTTTGCGGAAAACCACGTCCTAGTCATCGACAAATGTAATAACTCCAAGCAGAGTTTAGTCTGTTAATACTTCCCCAGCGATGTGCCATTTTGCCCATTTCCTCCAGGTTGTAGGCTTGGTCGGTGGGGAAGGAGTACTAACTTCTGTGGCTTCCCTTGGTTGATGTAACGGCCTGGCGATTTGATTGTATTCTTTTCAGTATCAACTACAGAAAGTGGATGTTTTAATAATACATAGACACAGCCTCTGATTGAGAAAATGAAGTCATCATTCAGTAACAAGTGAGGAGTCATTTTAAGGCTTAGTAAAAGTGGCACCCTGGTCTTATCAGGTGTCACTTGCGGGGAACATAGCACTGTCATCTCTCTGGGCATAGCCAACCTGTGACTATGCATTGGTGGCCACATCTCCTTGGCCTTCTCTCTATAACCTTGGGCACAGGACTGCCAGCTCTAGGTCTGCTCCAAGGAGCCAATTTAAGGGAACTTAAATTGGAGGGTTTTTAAGCTGGGAGTAGCAGTGGCTTTATTTTGCTTTAGGTTTCAGGAGGTGAAATGGGTGATATTTTGAGAACTGTGGGATTCAGCAGTTCTCAACCTGTATTCAGCTGATTATACATAATTCATTCTAAAGGAGAAAAATACATTTTTTTGTCATCTTTTTTATCGGTACCAGGGATCAAACTCACGACCACACACTTACAAGGCAAGCGCTTATGCCGCTAAGCTAAAGCCCCAGCCCATAAAAAATACTCTTCAAACCAAGCTTTATAACAGAACCTTAGAGGACCAGAGTCTTAGAAGTGATGTCTATTCAGCTGAATCAGGTGGCGTTTAGGACAATATCAAATGCACCGTCATAAAGTCATGTTCAGGTGGCACGGTAGCTGTCAGGTGATACAGTGAAATAAATTGTAGTGACTGAATCAAGATTACAAATAGCCGTGTAATTTCTTGGTGGGAGACAAAGATGTTAAAGACCCTAAACTCGATACTTTAACATAAGGACACGGAAGTCCTTTAAACAGATTGACTTTCCCACAGTCAGGAGGCAGTGGACTGGTCACACTTTAACAGGGGACTTGACTTGCACACCTGTCACACCATCACTTTTCATGTCTCATGGGCCCTCGAGGAAATAGTCCCTGGGAAGACATAAAAATAGTTTCAGGCTTTTCCATGTTTGTATTTATTAAGAGTTCATTAGCCTGCAGTTTTGCTGGAGTTGTCATTAATAGCACCTACACAAACCATATATATTTAAGGAATGTGCTATCGCAATTGTTTGAGGGGAAGAGAACACAAAAATCTATAGTCTGTGTGTGGTCAAAGTTAGGGGGAGTCTACAGAAAAATATATAGTTTTTGAAGTTAGTAGCAAGACGATCTTTCTATATGGTATTAATATCATATACAGCAATTCTCATTAAGTATGGACAGAATTTATAGGAATTTTGAAAATGATGAGGTCTCCAAATTGAGGAGCCCACAGTTTGTACCTGTGCTTGCCCTTTAAATATGGAGCAATTGTGAGATTCTAGAGGCTGGCAGTACTGTGGATGCTCACACACTTGTCTTAGGATAGGACTGCATCCCATAAATCCATCACAAGTTGAAAATCTCCTGAGTCAAAAGTGTTCTGACTGGGGCCAGGGATCTAGCTCAGCAGCATAAGCACCTGCCTGGTAAGTGCTGGTAAGTTGTGGGTTCGATCCCCAGTACCCCCCCAAAAAAAGTGTTCTGACTGTTGGTGGGACTGGTGCAACCACTGTGGAAATCAGTGTGGAGATTCCTCAAAAACTAGAGTTGGAGGTCCCATTTGACCCAGCTATGCCCCATCTGGATATCTTCCCAGAAGAATTAAAAGCATCATACCACAGCGATATATGCGCACCCATGTTTATAGCAGCACAATTTGTAATAGCCAGATCTTGGAAACAATCTCAATGCCTATTGACTGAGGAATGGATTAAAAAAATGTGGTATTTTGGGCTGGGCATTTAGCTCAGCAGCATAAGCGCCTGCCTTGCAAGCAGGCAGTCGTGAGTTCGATCCCCAGTACCAATAAAAAGGAAAAAGAAAAAAAAAAAGAGATGTATTTTTGTACAATGAAGTGCACCCCAGCCATAAAGAAGGATAAACTGGAGATTTTTTATAGGCAAATGGATGCAACTTAAGACCATACTCATAAGTGAAATAAATCATGCATGCATGTGTAAACATTGTACTGTCTCACTATTGTGAGAAGCTGAATGAAACAATATATGCATATATATAATATATGTATACAAATACATACATATACAATATGCAATGTATATACCACTGTTACCCCCTAATTATTGTTATGAATTTTTTTGCTTTAAAATAAAATAGATTTGAAAAGAAAAAAGTGTTCTGAATACATCTAAAAAAAAACCCCTTCCTAGCTTAGTAACACAACACAGTCACAGGGCTGACCAAGGGCTGAGGCTGGGACCACTCTCTGACATTATAAGAGGAAATTGTGCCACAAATCACTAGCCTGGGATAAAGAGCCAATATTCAAATTTTGAAGCATGGTCTCTACTGGATGAGAATTGCTTTCACATTGTTCTAAAGTCAAAGCACTGTTAAGTCGTACCATAGTAAGTTGAGGCCCATCTATATTTAACTGTCCCAGCTGATGATGCGGTTTAACACACCAGAACTTTGGTTTCTGTTGGTCTTTTCTCCTACCATTGCTTCCATGGCCTTTTCTCAAGGTAGCCCTGTCCTGTCAGGTTGCTGTCTCCCTCCAAAAGGAAGAAATGACTATGATAAAGTCATTTACACTAAGGAGATCTGAAACTATTACTGGTGACATCACTTTAGACACCGAGGAGTAGAGACTTTTATTCTTCCTAAATCCCAACACATAGGCAGCAGTACACCAGTCCCCAAATGGTCTCCCCAACCTGTGAAAGTGGTTTGCTTTCTTTTTTACATCTGTTGGATGCACAGGTAACTGATGCAATGTCTGGATATTGAGACAAGAAAGGCTGACACGGTCCCTGTCTATCCGCTTGTGGTTACAAGGCATGGAGGGGAAGGGCAGACCCAAACATTGAGGGCAGAAGGGCCCACGTTGTGTTATCACCATATGCTGAGCTATTATTTCCTTCAGTGCTCAGATCTGGCCTTAAAGCATCATTTTAAGGGTGGAGAATCCTGCATCAGGACCAGAACAAGCGACCCTGCTGGTACTACAGAGTGACTGCACCTTCTTTTCTTTCTTTCTTTCTTTTTTTTTTTTTTTTTTTGTACCACAGATTGAATTCATGACCTTTCACTTGCAAGGCAGGTGCTTATACTGCTGAGCTAAATCCCCAGCCTAGAGTGACTGCATCTTGCAATCCAACCTAAGTTAATTATAATGGCAGGTGGGCTGGAAATAATAGTTCACAGGTAGCTAAATACGAATGCCACATCCTTGGGAAAGATTGAAGGAGATTTACCATCATGTGTAAAAAGGCTTCTGAAAGATATTTATTTCTTACATTTTTACTTTTATTAGTACATGTTTGAAGTACATAATCATTACATTCTTCATGGAGAGTTGGTATATGTACACACCATGTCTTAATTCTTTTTATTTTCTCTGTCTCCCTCTCAAAATATTTTTAAATAGCTTAACTTGTGTGTGTATGCATTTTTAAGTTTTTAAAATAATAATGTGTACAGTGGGGGAAATAGTGGCACATAATTCCACCACACTAAGCAGAAGTTTTCAGGCATATGTGAATTTAATATTCTTGAAAGAAATTAGTATTTTATTACA